CTCAAAACTGCCTTAAAAACACAATCTGGGCAGTTTTGAACACTAGACACAAAATTGGACGAAAATTGATTTTAACTTGACCTAAGACACTTAAAAACACAAACTAAACACTTACTAACTAATTTTGACACTTTAAAACAAAGGGGGATTGGTTTTGGACGAATTTAAAAAACAAAACAAACTTTGTAAATTAGAACAGATTGTAAAAACGAATTTGATTTAAATGGGTGAATGGAAGGCTAGCTAAGGGGTTCATCTCCACACATGTTATACTTGCATATAAAACGATTTCCAATTGCTTTTCAACAAACCATGAATTCTCAATGCCCCAAGTTAATTAGGTCCGCTTAAATTAACCTTCAGATTTTCCTAACGTTATTGAATTGGATGATTGCATACGACAACCCAAAACATTCCCCACAAGTCCCCTACATGATTGCTGATGCGAAATAGATAAGTACACAAATTAAACCCTCTTTTTGTCAAATTGTAGTAAAGATGTAAGTAGGGATCGTTCTAGACCGGGGATTAGGAGGGATTGCTAAACACTTGGAAACTGACTTAAAAACTCTAAAACAAGGTTTAAAACACTAAACTAGACTCAAAGAATGCAAAACTAAACTTTAAAACACTTAAACAAACCTAAAACTCAAAACAGCAACCTAATGACTCAAAACTGCCTAAAAACCATTTTCTGGGCAGTTTTGAGAACCTAACAAGAACTTGGACGAAATTGGGTGAAAACTTGAATCAAAACACTTAGAAACACAAATCAAAACACTTTCTAACTAATCTAAGACTTCAAAAGAAAGGGGGATTTGTTTTGGACGAAAATTGAAAACAAAACAGAGACTTAAAACTAAACAGATTGTAAAACGTTTTTGGATGAAAAGGATGGATAAAAGGCTAGTTAGGAGGTTCTTCTCCACACATGTCACACTTGCACACAAAACGATTTTCAGTTGTTCTTCCAATAAATTATAAATACTCAATGCCCCAAATTAACCGTGAATTGCACTAATTAACCCTCAGTTTTTCCATAAGTTATCAAGTTGGATGATTGCATACGACAACCCAAAACATTCCCTACAAGTTCCCTACATGAATTGCATAATAGAGATACAAGCAAGAATCATTAAGTTCTATGAAAAACATAAGCATTGACGAAGCATTCGTTACTATGAATTGCATGAAACTTATGCTAAGAATTCATTCAACGCGATCGTTTTCAAGCGACCTTCACTACTTGTGATTATAAGATTGTAACTATTAGGTGAAACTCTCTCATAATCTAGCATCATATTCATGCATGAAAACTAAGCGTGCACTCTCAATCAACATACACAATTAAGTTATCAATCAAGTAGATGAACGAATTGAATTCACAACTTATGAAATAACAACTGAATGAAATCGAATCAAATTGCAAGCAAGTACATGGTTTCGAATTACCCCCCAACTAAGGGGGTTTAGTTCCTCATACTCACAACATAACGTTTATTGAATTGAAACATCGAAGACATAAGAAAGATTACACCTAAAACGCCCAAGAATTCCACTTTGAATTTCTGCACGTCAAGCTCCTCTTCTTCTTCTCCTTGCTGCTGCAGAGATGGTTAAGGGGACTTTTGGATGTGATTTTGGTTTAGGAAGGGAATTAGGATGGTATGGTGGTGCGGCAAGAGGTGTGGATGGTGTATGGAGATGGAGAATGGTGGCTGGAGTAGAGGGATGGCTGCGGCAAGGTGTATGGGTGTGGCTGGAATGGATGAAGGCTGCGGCAAGGTGTGGGAATAGGGTTTAGACGATTTCTGATTTGTAGAGTGGGAGAGCTTCGGCCAAAGGAGTAAAACACATATATATAGGCACCTAAAACCCTAATGAAATCAGATTGAAACAATGGGCTAGGGTTAAGGTTTGTAAAATAGGGCTTCTAGGATGGAAAGGTGCGGCATGGGCTTAGGGTAAATAATCAGATTTTTTTGCATATGAACAAGGCCTAGGTGCGGCTGATTAAGTGGCTAGGGTTAGGGTTTAGGTGCGACATAGGTCCAAGAAGTAAGGATGGGTCATCCAAAAGCCCAAAGCCGAGAATAGAAACTCACGAAAATGGAAACCTCCAAGAATAGAAACTTCCAACTTTAGAAACTTTGGTTGCCAATTCCGATTTAGGAAAGATCAACCCAAAATGGAAACTTTTAGGCTTAGCTTTCCTACTTCAAGTAGGAAACCTCAAATCTTCAACTCTTCAATTCCATCCCAACCTTGTGTTCCAAGCATGTCCTTTTCAATCCAAGCTCATATTTTGCTCCAAAAGCTCCAACTTGCATCATTTCATGTAATATGTCCTTTAACCCTGAAAACACATGAAAGTAGCTTAAAAAACTACTTTAACAAAGAAAACATAACGAAAATGCATAAGAACTATGATTGCATGAAACTTATGCCAAGAAAACATAACGAAAATGCAAAGAAAACATAAATATGCTCCTATCAATTGCATAATAGAGATACAAGCAAGAATCATTAAGTTCTATGAAAACCATAAGCATTGACGAAGCACTTGTTACTATGATTGCATGAAACTTATGCCAAGAATTTACTTAACGCGATTGAGATCATCAACCTTTACTACTTGTGAATATAATTCCATAACGATTAGGTGAAATTTCCTTATATCCTAGCATTCAATTTATGCATGATAATTAAACGTGCACTCTCAACCAACACACACAAATCAATGTAATTCACATAGATAAGTAAATTGAATTCACAACTTATGAAACGCAATTAGAAGTAATCAAATCATCACAAGCATAAACATGTATTTCGAATCCCCCCCTAGCCAAGGGGGGGTTTAGTTCCTCATACGCACAAAACAAAGAGAATTGAATTTAAACATTGAAATCAAAGGAAAAGAAACACCTAGAAATTCCAGCGACACGAACTTGAATTGCATGAACTTCCAAGCTTCCTTCTCCTCCTCCTTGGTGCGGCAAAGGGTCTAGGGACAGGTTTAGGACCTTAGGTGTAGGGATGCATGGTGATGGATGGATGTAGTAGTGTTTAGGGGATTGGGATGGTGCGGCAAGAACTTAGAACTAGGGGGAATGGTGTTTAGTGGGTGCGGCAAGAGTGTGGAGAGGGTTGGACGAATTTCTGGAGTGAATTGTGAATTGTGGTGAGTGGTGATCTGATTTAGGGGTTAATATGAGTATATATAGGCACTTAAAACCCTAGGGTAATCAGATATGGACTTGGATAACCCAAATCCACAAGGAAATAGGTCTAAACAATCAGATTTTGCAAGGAAAAGGGATAAGGGTGCGGCAGCAATGGGATAAGGTGATAAGGTTTCTAGAATGCCTTGCAAGGCAAGGAATTAGGGTATCTAGAAGCTAGGGTGCGGCACCAAAGTAGGGATTAAGGATAGGGCTTCTAGAAAGCCCCAAAACTGATAGGAATGGCATGAAACCCACGGCAAGGATGGAAACTTTCTAGAAACTTCTCATTTGTGTCCTACAACACTTAGGAATCCTTCTAGCATTAGGAAAACATGTCTCAATCCTCTCTTGACTTGGAATTCTTCTCCTACTTCATCTTGGAAACCTTTCCTTCTTGGACTTGGAAATCTTCTTTGTAGCTGCAACTTGATGCCATTTGGATTTAACTTTCCTACTTCGAGTAGGAAAGCTTGTTTGAGTAGGAATCTTCATTCTTCTAGGAATCCATCTTTAACTAGGAATCCCTAGTAGATTAGGAATCCTTCTTCAATTAGGAATCCTTCGTAGATTAGGAATCCTTCTTCAATTAGGAATCCTTTGTTCAATTAGGCGCTTTCCCACTTCGACTAGGAAACCTTTTTCAAGTAGGAAACATCATCTTCAAATCTTCAATTTCGTCCATCCTCTTGGCTCCAAGCATATGATGTCCATTCCAAGCTCTAAATTGCTCCAAAAGGCTCCAAAATGCATCCTTTTGCATACTTTGCCCTTAGAACCTGAAAACACATAAAACTAGATTAAAAGACTACTTTACTAAAAAAAACAACGTAAATGCACAAGAACAAGCTAACTAAGGCGCATAAATATGCTCCTATCACAATTCATCCAATTCAATAACTTTAGGGAAATCTGAGGGTTAATTAGTGCAATTCACAGTTAATCCAGGGTGTTGGGAATTCATGGTGTGTCGAAGAGAAATTGGAAATCATTTTGTATGCAAGTATAACATGTGTGGAGAAGAACCCCTTAGCTAGCTTCTCATCCATTCAATTTAATCAATCTCGTTTTACAATCTACTAGTTCTTAAAGTTTTTGTTTAGTTTTAAATTTCGTCAAGAACCAATCTCCCATTTATTTCAAAGTGTTAGATTAGTTAGTAATCACTTTAGTTTGTGTTTTTAAGTGTTTTGATTCTAGTGGTAAACCAAGTTCGTCCAAATTTGTGTTTGTGCTCAAAACTGCCCAGAAAGTGTTTTTAAAGCAATTTTGAGTCTTTTGGTTGCTGTTTTGAATCTTTTTGTTTATCTTAGTGTTTTAAACTTTAGTTTTGCATTCTTCGAGTCTAGTTTAGTGTTTTAAACTTTGTTTTTAAGTTTTGAGTCAGTTTTCGAGTGATTTGGCAATCCCTCCTAATCCCCAGCCTAGAACGATCCCTACTTACATACTTGCTACAATTGATAAAAAGAGGGTTTAATTTGTGTGCTTATATATTTCGCATCAATGGACAAAGCTAAAGATTGGTTGTACGAACTAGCACCCAGGACGGTTACATCTTGGGAGAGTATGAAACGAGTGTTCTTGGAGAAGTTTTTCCCAACTTCAAGAGTCATTCTCTTGAGGAAACGGATTAACGGGATCCAACAAAATCAAGGTGAATCGTTTCCCACTTATTATGAACGTTTTAAAACTCTTGTTGCTTCATGTCCACAACACCAAATGAAGGAGGAGCTACTCATTCAATACTTCTACGAAGGACTCCTCCCCATTGAACGTCAAATGTTAGATGCCTCAGCGGGTGGTGCATTGGTTGACATGACTCCGGTGGCTGCGAAGACTCTAATTGCAAACCGAGCACACAATGCACAACAATATGAGGGTGTTGGACAAAGAGAAAGCCCACGGCAACATAGTGTGAATGAGGTAAGTGCTATCTCTAAAATTCAATCACAATTAGCTAATCTTACCACTCTTGTGTCTCAGGTTGTAATTGGGTCAAAACCACAAGAAAATCAAGTTTGCACCGTGTACTCCATTCAAGGGCATCCATCCGAGAAGTGCCCTCAGTTAATCGAGAATGGTGGATGGGAATCTGCCAATGCTATTGCATTCCAAGGCCAAAATCAAACCAAATACGATCCATACTCGAACACATACAACCCCGGATGGAGAGATCACCCTAACATGAAGTGGAGAGAGCCCCAACAACCTACACAACAAGGGGGATTTCGGCAAAACCCCCCTGGGTTCCCACGGCCATATCAACAAAATCAATCACTTCCGGCCCAATCTAGAACAGGTACGCCTATGGATAATGATCAACTTGTTCAATTGCTAACCAATGTGGCGCAGGGCATGCAAAATCAAGCCAAGGAGGTGGAAGATTTGAAGAAACAAATGGGACAAATGGCTGAATTCATGGGGCAGTTTAGTAGAGAACAAGGTAAGTTACCTAGTTCAATAGATGTGAATCCGAATGGAGGATTTGAATCTGCCAAAGCCATCATATTGCGTAGTGGAAAAGAAGTTGGAAGTGAGTCCGACACTCCCAAATCTGCCCAAGAAGAGGATGACAAGCTGCAAGAAAAGGAGGGAAGCATTAGCACAACCACGACAAGGGTGAAACAAACCTTGCCGCAAGCCCCTATCCTTCCTAATTTGGCCAAACAAGGTATGTTGAGTTCAAATTCACTTAATACTAATCTGACCAATGTTCCTTTTCCTCATAGGTTCATGCAATCGAAGAAGGATGAGAATGAGAAGGACATTCTAGAAACATTCCGAAAAGTGCAAGTAAACATTCCACTCCTTAAGGCAATTAAACAAGTCCCAAAATATGTCAAATTTCTCAAGGAGCTGTGCACAAACAAGAGAAGAATGTCTAACAAAGAGGTAGTTAAGGTAAGTGAAAATGTTTCAGCCGTATTGCAACGTAAACTACCTACTAAATGCAAAGATCCCGGTAGATTTATGATTCCTTGTATAATTGGCACTACTCGGTTTGAACATGCAATGCTTGACTTAGGTGCATCCATAAATGTCATGCCTTATTCTATTTATGAATCTATGAATTTGGGTGAATTGAAAAAGGATGGTGTGATCATACAATTGGCTGATCGTTCTAACGCTTATCCAAAGGGAGTATTGGAGGATGTTTTAGTACAGGTGAACCATTTGATCTTCCCGGCTGATTTTTACGTTTTAGACATGGAAGATTCAGCCCATTCCACCTCTCTGCCGATTCTCCTTGGTAGGCCATTCATGAAGATAGCCCGTACAAAGATTGATGTGTTCAAGGGCACTTTGACGATGGAATTCAATGGGGAAGTTATCGATTTTAATATTTCTGAAACTATGAGATATCCCGTTGATGACCATTCATGTTTTTCTATTGATATCATTGATTCATTGGCGTAGGAATTGATAGGAGCATATTTATGCGACTTAATTAACTTGTTTCCTTGCATTTACATTGCTAGTACTTAGTAATTTTAGTATTTTAAGCTATTTTCGTGCAATTTCAGGTTTTAAGGACAAAGTATGCAAACATGTGCATTTTGGAGCCTTTTGGAGCAGTTTTGGGCATGGAATGGATAGCTTATGCTTGGAGCAAGGTGGATGGACGAAATTGAAGATCAAAGGAGGCTAGGAATGAATAATGAAATGAAGAAATGAAAATGAAGAACAAAGAGTTCATAATTGGAAACCAAAGTTCTATTCTTGGAGGTTTCTGGTGCGTAAAATAACTAAACACACAAATTAACCCTCTTGTTGACAATTATAGTATGGATAAGTAGGGATCGTTCTTAAACCGGGGATTAGGAGGGATTGCTAAAACACTCTAAACTGACTCAAATCTGTAAAACAAAGTTTAAAATACGAAACTAGACTCAAAAAATGCAAAACTAAACTCTAAAACACTAAAACGAACCAAAAGAATCAAAACAGCAACCAAACACTCAAAACTGCCTAAAAACCACTTTCTGGGCAGTTTTGGGACTCTAACACAACTTGGACGAATTTTGGTTTCCTAATGACCTAAAACACCTAAAAACATATTCTAAGACAAGTTCTAAGTAATATGACTCAAAGAAATATGGTGGGGTTGATTTTGGACGAAATTAATTAAAACAAAGCAAGAACAAAGTAAACAGATTTTAAGACAAAGTTAAGTAAATTGATGGGTGATAGATCAACTAGAGGGTTCTTCTCCACACATGATACACTTGCATTCAACTTTGATTTCCAATTGTTTCTTTCAATGAATTATGAATCTCAACGCCCTAGGTTAACTGTGATAGCACTTTTTTAACCTTCAAGTTTTCCTAAAGTTAGTGAATTGGATGGGAATGCACATGCAACAACTCAAAACATTCTCTAAAAGTTCCTTACGTGAAAAGCACAATAAAGATGCAATCAAAGATCATTAAGCTTCGTGAAAACTATAAGCATTGACGAGGCAATTATTACTATGAAAAGCATGAAACGTTTGCCAAGAATTCACTTAACACGATCGTTTATAAGCGACCTCCACTACTTGCAAACATAAAGTTGTAACTATTAGGTGAAACTTCCTTATGTTTTAGCTTCAAATTCCTGCATGAAAACTAAGTTGGCCACCTTAATTAACACATAAATATAAGTCATCAATCAAACGGTTAAGCAAATTGCATTCACAATTCATGAAATAACAATTAGACGTAATCAATTCATCTTGCAAGCATAATCATGGTATTGAATAACCCCCTAGCCAAAAGGCTTAGTTCCTCATGTTCACAAAACAAAGAAAAACAGATTCATACATTGTAAATATAAGAAAGAGAACACCTAAATATTCCAACGATTCGATGTTGAACGGCTAGAATCTCCAAGTACTTCTTCTTCCTCTCCTTTGCTGCGGCACAGGGACTATGGCAAGGTTTTTGGGTTATTGAATGATGTAGAATGGATGGAGGATGTATGGAAGTGTTTAGGGTTGATGGGTGGTGCGGCTAGGGTGGTTTTGGGTCAGAAAATATGGTGAATGGTGAAGGAATGGGGCTGTTGAAGATGGAGTTCAGTTTCTGGCGTGAATGATTATTTTCTGGATGAATGGGGATGTTTGTGGCTGCACAAGGATGTTTATTTAAAGGGATTTAGGAAATTAAAAACCCTAGACTATTTTGGTAAACAGAAATTAAGTCAAAAGCTTCTAGAAATAGGAAATTAAATAAAAAACTTAAGGGAAATTAGCCAAAAGGTGCGGCACTAACCTAAAACAGATTAGGAAGGTGTTTACAAGCAAGGAAACAGGAAATAACTCCCTCCCTTGCACGGCAAGGAAGAGGGAAGGTGGGAAAGGTACGGCAAGAATGAGGACTATGCAAGGAATGTGTGATAGGAGCATATTTATGCGCCTTAGTTAGCTAGTTTTTATGCATTTTCGTTATATTCTCTTCGTTAAAGTAGTCTTTTAAGCTACTTTCATGTGTTTTCAGGTTTATAGGACATATTACATGAAATGATGCAATTTGGAGCTTTTTGGAGCAAAATTGAGTCGGAATGTTGTGTATGCTAATGGAGCACGAGGAATGGACAAGTTTGAAGGTCAAAGGAGCTTAAGAAATGAAGAAATAAAAGTGAAGAACAAAGAAGTCGGAATTGGCAACCAAAGTTTCTAAAGTTGGAAGTTCCTATTCTTGGAGGTTTCCATTTTCGTGAGTTTCTATTCTTGGCTTTGGGCTTTGAGATGACCTAAACCCTAATTCCTTGTGGATCCTAAGCCTATGCCGCACCCTAAGCCCTTTTTCATTTAATTTCTGCCAAGTTAAAGCCTAATCTATCTCCCCTAGGGTTTGGGCCGCACCTCTCCCCTTCTAGAACACCAATTTCCTTGCCTTGCAAGGCTTTCTAGAAGCCTTAACCCTAGCCCACTCCTTGCCGCACCCTAGGCCCTTTTTCTCACCAAATTTCTGATTGTTTAACCTATGTTTCTGATGGACTTTAAGCCTTTGCCGCACCTAAACCCTAGCCCATGGTCTAATCTGATTTCTTTAGGGTTTTAGGTGCCTATATATATGTGTTTTACTCCTTGCCGCAGGGATCACCCTCTCCATAATTCAGAAATTCGTCCAACCCTACTTCCCCACCTTGCCGCAGCCTTCATTCATAACCAGCCACTTCCCACTCTGTGCCGCAGCCATTCTACAACTCCAACCACCATTCTACACCTCCATACATCATTCTACACCTCCATACACCACCCTTACCCCTTGCCGCACCACCATACCATCCTAACTCCCTTCCTAAACCAAAATCACATCCAAAAATCCCCTAAACCTTCTCTGCCGCAGCAAGGAGAAGAAGAAAAGAGGAGCTTGACGTGCAGAAATTCAAAGTGGAATTGTTGGGCGTTTTAGGTGTAATCTTTCTTATGTCTTTGATGTTTCAATTCAATAAATTTTGTGTTGTGAGTATGAGAAACTAAACCCCCTTAGTTGGGGGGTAAGTCGAAACCATGTACATGCTTGCAATATGATTTGATTACATTCAGTTGTTATTTCATAAGTTGTGGATTTAATTCGTTCATCTATTGATTGATAATTTATTTGTGTATGTTGATTGAGAGTGCACGCTTAGTTTTCATGCATGAATATGATGCTAGATTATGAGGGAGTTTCACTTAATAGCTACAATCTTATAATCACAAGTAGTAAAGGTCGCTTGAAAACGATCGCGTTGAATGAATTCTTAGCATAAGTTTCATGCAATTCATAGTAACAAATGCTTCGTCAATGCTTATGTTTTTCATAGAACGTAATGATTCGTGCTTGTATCTCTATTATGCAATTCATGTAGGGAACTTGTAGGGAATGTTTTGGGTTGTCGTATGCAATCATCCAACCTAATAACTTGTGGAAAAACTGAGGGTTAATTAGTGCAATTCACGGTTAATTTGGGGCGTTGAGTATTCATAGTTTATCGGAAGAACAACTGAAAATCGTTTTGTTTGCAAGTGTGACATGTGTGGAGAAGAACCTCCTAACTAGCCTTTTATCCATCCTTTTCATCTAAAAACGTTTTACAATCTGTTTTGTTTTAAAGTTTCTGTTTTGTTTTCAATTTTCGTCCAAAACAAATCCCCCTTTATTTTGAAGTCTTAGATTAGTTAGAAAGTGTTTTGATTTGTGTTTCTAAGTGTTTTGATTCAAGTTTTCACCCAATTTCGTCCAAGTTCTTGTTAGGTTCTCAAAACTGCCCAGAAAGTGGTTTTTAGGCAGTTTTGAGTCATTAGGTTGCTGTTTTGAGTTTTAGGTTTGTTTAAGTGTCTTAACCTTTAGTTTTGCATTCTTTGAGTCTAGTTTAGTGTTTTAAACCTTGTTTTAGAGTTTTTAAGTCAGTTTCCACGTGTTTAGCAATCCCTCCTAATCCCCGGTCTAGAACGATCCCTACTTACATCTTTACTACAATTTGACAAAAAGAGGGTTTAATTTGTGTGCTTATCTATTTCGCATCAATGTGTAATTTGTGTCCTAGAATGCTTAAAAGGCCTTCAAAGTTGCTGGAACATAGGGATAATTAGGATTAGGAAAGGTCAAACCAAAATAAGAAACCTTGGCTTAACTTTCCTACTTCAAGTAGGAATCCTTGTTCATCTAGGAATCCTCATGTGATTAGGAATCCATCTTCAATTAGGAATCCTTCGTTGATTACGAATCCTAATTTCTTCAAGTCTCAATTCATCCATTCTTTTTGCTCCAAGCATGTGATAATCATTCCAAGCTCCATTTTGCTCCAAAAGGCTCCAAAATGCGTACTTTGCCTTTAGAATCTGAAAACACACAAAAGTAACTTTAAACACTAAAATAGCTAACGAAACATAACATAAATGTGACAGGAGCATATTTATGCTACTTAATTGGCTTGTTCTCGTGCATTTAAGTTGTGTTTACTTAGCTATTTTAGTGTTTAAAGTCACTTTTGTGTGTTTTCAGGTTCTAAGGCCAAAGTGTGCAAAAAGAAGCAAATTGGAGCAAAAGGAATGGATGAATTGAAGTCTTGAAGAAAGTTGGTTTCCTAATCCAAGAAGGATTCCTAATCAACAAAGGATTCCTAATTGAAGAAGGATTCCTACTCCAACAAGGATTCCTACTTGAAGTAGGAAAGTTAAGCCAAGGTTTCCTATTTTGGTTGACCTTCCCTATTCCTAAATGTCCTTAATTTCCAGCCACTTTGAATACCTTTTAAGCACTTTGGGACACCAAAGAAAGGCCCTAAACCACTCTAGGACCTTTGCCGCACCTTTCCCTTAATCCCCCTTCCTTGCCGTGCAAGGGATCCTCTTTCCCATCAGTTTTAGGTCACTTAGACCTTTCCCAAACCCTTGCCGCACAAGAAATCCGAAGTGACAGTTGTGGAAAATGCCGAGAATGAGCTTG